GCTAACCGTTACACCATCGCTGCTTTATAACTTTAATTAAATTATTTATTTGGATGAACGTAAATAAATGTTGTTGTAATGATTTTTATTTGTTTCCTCAATACAGAATTACACAGACTTTCCCGTATTAGTTTTCTATTTCCCTTGGTCTCGGCTAGATATTTGCACTTGCCACATATTGCTGCCCAAATTTATTTTTTTAATTTTAAGTTTCCTAATAGTAGAATGGATATATTATTTTAAGAATATTGAAGAACAGAAAATCCTTGTCCTAAATGCCAATTTTCTTTGAAGAATTTGGAGCCGTTTTTAAGAAAATGTCCTTTGAGCACTACTGTAAATTCGAAATTTGAAGCTCTTTTTAACAAAAAAAAATTTGAGTTTTCGATAAACTTCATTTAAAATCATTTGAAGCACTTTAACTCATAAGTGAAATAGCGTTAACAAATTGTTGGAAATAAGCATATTAAAGGTATAAGATGTCTTTCACAAAATTACATTTGTGTGATTTTTGAAAAGACATCTTATACCCTGAAATTAACTTTACATCATATTAAAGAGTCCAATTAGCACTATTTGTTCAAAATGTTTGAAAAAAACTTATGGAGACGTTTTTGAGAAAACGGCATTTGAGCGTTTCTGAAAATGCTGAATTGTGAGCTAGTTTTTGCAGAACATGGCTTAGTTTAAGAAATTTTATACTGCATTATTTAAAGCACATGTACTCATAAATACAGAATGTGAACAAATCTCTGCTAATGTAAATATTATCAACATGGGAGACAAGCCAAAATCATTACATTTTTGTGATTTTTGAAAAAACAAACAAATAGAGTAAATTGATATTTATGTCATCTCAGAGACTGCATTTATCACTATCCCTACCAAAAGTTTAAATAAAAAAGCTGTTTTCAAGAATTGTTTTTCTTATTTTTTAGAATTGCATATATTGCACGCAATATTACGTGAAAAATACTAAAGGTTTTCAAAAAACATGTACATGACCTTAAGGAAAGAACTCACTATGAAGAACAAATGTTTATTTGAAGGAGAAGCCTCTATCTTCAATTTTGAAGTTGTAGGAAGACGCCCAAACAATTTCAAACTTGAAGTTTTTAAAAATTTAGTTAACTGTGGAAATCAGCCCGATGCCACTTTTGTGTGTATTTAACTCCATTTTTAGAGAAATTTAAAGAATAAATTTTGTAAATGTCCCAAGGGCTTCATGTAAGGTACCCCCAAATTTTAAAGAAAGTTTTTCAAAATCTCGAAGCTTGAACTGGAGGTAATGGACAAGGGCTTCTTCTATTTGGAAAAAAATCATGCGCAGGGTTTAGTCGCTAGTTGTGTTCGCAGATGGATGGACAAACAGACTGATGGATGTTTTGAAAAAACAACAGTTTTGATATCAAGGGAACCCAAAACATGTATTTCTGTTGAAACTGTATATATGTATGTAAATGAGAAATTTAAAAGAATAGATAATTAATAGTGCCTGGCTGAATTTCATACCGTTTTGCTCACGCAGGATGACAAATTGTTTCATACAGAGTTTTGTTACTCTGATAATGGAAATTAAGGTTGTGGGATTGTATTATTTAATAAGTCTGCCATTCAATGATAAATTAACCAATTTATTAAAATATTTATATGCTTTTTTGATTACGATAAGTTTGATATTTTCTTTCAATACAGAAAAATATTCGTTTTACCCATTGTTGTTAATGTAATGTCAGAAAAATATCATTTAATAGTATTCTCCTAATCTTTGAAATAATAATTTTGAATTATATTACTACTATAACTAGAATTTCTTTCTAAGCTTTCCTTTTATAAACGAGCTCTTTGAATTAATTTGCATGCATTTACTGAAATAAATGTATGAAGCCGTTCCCAATGTTAGTGATGTTATTTTCAAATTCTTTTTTTGACTAAATTTTTTGAAGTGGCTGGGCATCAAGACATCGTATTGTAAGATTCATAAGATTCCCAAGTTATGAAACAAGACATTACATTTAATGTACATAGAAATTCTGACATCTGTCTCTTACAAAACGTGCTATTATTCAATGCAAAATGCAGTTCAAAGTATTCAGAACAAAATGGAGCTTCACTAAGCGCATGTTTTGTTACTCTTCTTTTGCTTGTAATGGTAAGAGTAGAGGTAAGGGTGAGTTGCTATTTTGTTAGCAATTTATATTCAGAAAATTCATACTTGCAATTCGTATTCTGATGAAAATAAGTTTTCTGTAATTCGGAAACAAAAATGACTATTTTTTAAATATTTCTAATGATGCGATTTTTAAAATTTATTTTTAATTATTTATTTTAAACTTTTACTCATCTTTCAACTATTTATTGTTAAAATGACGGAAAGGGATTCTGGAACTCAAGAAAACATGCACAGATAATCTTCTCCCCCGTATGTCACATACAGTTTTTACTGTATTTTGACAAAATAAATCTAAATCTATTCTCCCATTTGTCCCCCATGAAATCCATTATCATTCTGACATCCGTCTCTCACAAATCTAGTATCATTCTGTTTTGTTTTTTTCTGATTTGAACATCATTAGAAGGGTGTTATCTCTACTTTATTATGTTAAAATATTCCTTGAATTTTCTGGAATTCCTCAATATAAAGCTGCAAACACATTTCATTTTGTTCAGTGTTGTCATGAAAACTAATGAAGTGAGGGAAATTTACAAATTCTGGAACAATACAATTGTTATTCTCTGCAGAGTTGAACATGTTGCTGAAAATGTGCTTGAAGAGTTTCATATTTACCTAGATCTGTACATGTATGTTGTTGGGAACTATGGGAAAGAAATCCTACCATTCATCTTTACATAAAAATATAATGCACAAGTTATAATGATAATGAAATTTTTTTGTGAAAGTACACTTGTCAGACTGTCATGACTGGACATGGCATTGTGACATCACTAATCTAAGAATTGAAAACACTCAATCTTGGAACTTAAATTATTCGATTCACTAACTCTAACCTCAACTCAGACATGTGTTTGAGATAGATTGAGGCATAAGTGCAAAATATTTCATGAAGAAATTTTCAATCATTTTTTAGAAAATTTTGATAATGGGACTGGGACTTCATGCAAAGTACCTTCCAAAATTAAAATATTGTAATCTCCAGAACGGCACAACTAGATCTTAATCCCGATGTATTTACTGAATTTCGCTCAAAAATTTTTTATCCTACAGAGACTTGTCACATCAGGACATGTATCCATATCGACATCCCAATTTTGGGGTCCAGATTTAATTTCTCGACCTTCGCCTACCCTAAACGTCTTTGGAACAGTGCTAATGGACCTTAGTCGTGATGTGTGTGTGTGCAGAGTGAGCTCAACAGGGATTTTACAGAAATTTGAGATAATTTTGTTGTGGCAATTCCAATGGTTTTCCTCTGTAAGGTCATACCATAAAAGTAATAATGTAATGTCCCTTTTCTTCAGTAATATTTATTGAAACATTGAATATTGTATAATAAAATCAATGTAGTTTCATAACATTTTATACCAATCCTGAATTCACCCATTAATATTATTCTTTTTAACACACTGAATAGTAAAAACAACTAATGAATGTGAACTTTCAACAAGAATTCAATTTCTACAGCTCAAATAACTTTTTCCAGATATAACAGGTTAAAAAGGAAGATAAATGGATTAAATCCATTCTTGTAAATCAAAAGATCATACAAAATTGATAATCATGAAATTTATTTTCCACAACACTTAAAATTAATTTATAAATTGCTTTCCAATTTTTATTTTATTATACAATTGGGTAAACAAGTATGTTCTATCAACTACCACATAGCTCTCTGAACACCAGAAAGCTTATTGTAGTCTGCTAAATTGCGCCATGCAATTCGACTCAAACGCCAAGGTCTCACAGTAGCTCGAGGTTTCGATGTGATGGCACAACGATCAACTATGCGACTCTTGCAGGAGTCTCGAGGGAAGGCAGCGATCTCTTCATCAGCAATGGCCTATGAACACAGCAATTTGCTTGGAGTTAGATAACATACATTTCCAAAACATAAAGTGCATTATTACTTATATTTTGTAATGATATCTAAAAAATTATTAATCAATATAATAAATAGAAAAATGAAAAATTAAGATCAAATTTTTAGGAAAAGCTCGAGGTAAATTATTATCATCAAATTTTGCTGCAGTACAGATTTCATTTGCGTTATTTTAAAAGGTTTCAGACAAACCTGATCATCTTCCCATACCAGAAGGAAAATAATAGATAAGGTTAATAAAATTTGAACAACATGCTTGACACGTAATCTTAAGTAAAAGTGTCATCAATTGTTAGTATATCGGTTTTGAACTTTTAAACAATACCATCGTTTAGTTTTTACGCAAGGCAGTTTTTACGTATATTTTGATGTAGCTTACAATGGTATTACATTAAATATTAGCATGTGTAATTTGTATATTCATTCCATAATTTTTTTTTTACCCGCAAAGCTGATGGAAGAATATCATTCTTCCGCAGACTATTGACTCGTAACCTCTCCATCGCATATTCCTTCACCATCTTCCTCCTTTTGACATCCCTAATCATCTTCCAATCAGCATATTTCGTTCTCACTTGTTGATGCTGCCAAACCAAGAGAAGTATTGATAAGTAAATCATATAATACATAACATTAGCACAATAGATAACTCGTCCAGAATACCTATACTACTCTTGCCCTCAAAAATGAATCTTAGGATTCAGAAACTTTCCTTTCAGATTCATATAAGTGCAAATTGATAAAAATTTACATTTAAAAGCACTGTAAAGCAGTGTCAAATATTTAAGATACCAAAAAAGTTGTTTTCTGGTTAATCGTAATGTTGCTGTAATTTTTGTTTCTTGACCCACTGACAATTATTTTTGTAAGGTGTTCAGTCACAAGTGAAAAATTTAATTTACATTGTTGATGTGTTTGTCATTTATTCAGCCTTTATGAGGAGGTAATGTTAACCTACACATATTTGTAATGACTACAGGCTTGAATAAATAGTCTATACGGCTAATTAAATTACTCACTCATGACTGTGCATGAAAACCTTACAAACATATTTTGGAAGATTTGCTAACCTACATTTCTGAAATTATCATACGCCAACAAACAACATTCCATTTACATAATTGTGTGTAGAGTGTACTAACCGAAACACCTGTCAAGCTAGTACCCTTCGGGTACTTTGCCACAAGGTGCACCAACCCTTTGAATAATCCTCCTACATTCATGTCAATTGATCTTTAATTCAGTCGAGTTCCGAACTAGAATTTCAGTGTTTACAAAGATGCAGTAATCAAAAGATAACTTTGACAAACTCAACAAAATACAGCAAAAGTTATTTTCGAGATCAGTAATCACATCAAAGAGTGTAGATGGATAATTCAACCAAATTTAATCAATAACAATAGATATTATTACAGGATTACATAATTTTAAAAGCACCAGCAGAAGTACGGACGTCAGCGCGCTCTACAGGATCTTCGAATCGAATAATGAAAACAAAAGCGCCTCTTCACGTTCGCGGCACTTTCGAGTTGTGGGTTGCGACCGTCACATGTGCGTAAAGTAAGCTACAAAGAGTTTCGCAATTATTGTGTAACCAACTGACTACCCGGCGTAGTCTGCGTTTTCGAAATCACAACCCACCCCTCCCGCCTCGCTTCCTTTTAGTAATAAAGGATGTTTAAATCATACTTAAAGCGGCCAAAATTTCATTAACAGTGGTCTTTGGATAAGCCTCGAAATTCTTGAATCCTTTATATTTTTTAGTCATATGTTTCACACTGATATTAGAAAATAGTTAATTTAACGTATTAAAAATACAAATGCAACAAAATATACATCCATTGATTAGTTAATCATTTTATGTATTTACTCCATGAAATGTCTTCACCAAGGGCTCAAATTTCAAGAGAATTGTTATTGATTAATTATGTAAGGAAAAAGACAATGTGTGTTATTTGATTTATGTAATGAATATTAAAACAATACAAGTTTTCTTTAAAGAAGTAATCCAGAACTTTCGACCAATCTGATCCATCATGTCAGATAACCAGAAACTCACACGGACAAGATGTGTCCCAAGGGTGAATTCAAAAAATATTAAATGGGATTTCAAATTGAAAGAAACACATTTTTCTCAATGGAGTTCAGAGTAATAATCAATATACAAATTATATAAATTGTATCAATTATTTTACGAACAGTTTAAATATAAAATATTTTTTGTAAATCTTTCCACAACTTCAGTTTTTTCCTTTTAGTCAGGAACAATATAAATTTGAACATACTACCAAAATTTAAAATATTAAATTTTAAAAATATATTTTGGTTAAAATAAATTTACAAATATATCATTTTGAAACATATAATATTTTTGTACATTCTTTAATGAAGAAATGGATTGTCACAAAATGCAAATATTGGATTCCATCAGGATTCAAGACCGTTACTACCAGTTATCAATCAAAAATTAAAAATTGTTATTATGTGAGTCATTCCATTTCAATCACATTCACCCTTCATGCACATGTTCCGGACAAAAGATCACTCATCTCTATAAAATTGTTACAAATTTTTGATTCCATAGCTCAGTTGCTTTATGGTTAACAGGACATTGGGTTGTTCTGGGGGGATCAAATATTTGAAAATCCAATTTTAGTGTTACTAGTGATGATACACAATGGCACACACTTTTCCGTATTGTATATCTATTTTCTTTGGTCTCGACTAGCTGTTCATACTTACCACATACTCTTGTCAGCTGCCATCTACCGGCACCCAAAGTACATTGTATTGAAATTTTCTTACTTTTTCGGTTTCCTAATATTAGAATGGAAATATTTTTAAGAATATTAAAGAATTTTTATTAAATATTTTAGAAAGAAAATTATTAAAGAAATTTATAAATATTAAAGAATTATTTAGAACATCGTCCTAAATGGCAATTTCTGTTGACTATTTTAGAGTTCTTTTTAGGAAAATGGATCTTAAACGCTATTGTAAATTCGAAATTTGAAGTTCGTTTTCACAGGAAATTTTTGAGTTTTCGAAAACTTCTTATGAAGTTACATCAAGCACCTTCAGTCACAAATGTAATAATGTTCACAAATTGCTTGAATTGTGCATACGTATTAAAGCCGCGAGAGATATTTAAAAAAATACATGTGTAATTAAAAAACGAATGCAGTAAAATAAACTTTATGTCATATTAAAGAGTGTAATTAGTACTTCCGTTCGAAAAGTTTGAAGAAAAAATTGTGAGCCGTTTCTGAAAAAATAGGGTTTGAGTGTTTCTGAAAATGCAGAATTTTGAAACAGTTTTCACAGAAAATGATTGAGTTTTCGAGAAACTTTATATGACGTTATTTAAAGTCCATGTAATCATAAATATAATAATCTGAACAAATTGCCGCTAACGTAGATATTAATGTCGTGAGAGACAAGTCAAAAAAATTATTTTTGTAATTTATGAAGTAACAAAAGGATAGAGCAATAGAGCAATATCGTGTTTATGTCAACTCATAGAGTACATTTAGGACTATTCATACCAAAAGTTTTAAAAAAATGGGGAGCCATTTTTGAGAAAATCTGTTGTTTTTTTTTTTTTTTTAAATTGCAAATAGTGTGCGAAAAGTACCAAAAATTTAAAAAAATATACATGACGTCAATAAAAGAATTAATATTGACAACAAATTTCATTTTAAGGAAAAATCTCTATCCTTATTTTTGAAGTTGTAGAATGGTTCCGGAAAAAAATAATGCTTTTGATATTTTTGGAATATTTATTGTTAACTGTGAAAATCGGACCTATGCCACTTTTATAAGTATATTTTACTCTATTCTTAAAATAATTTATTTTTAAATTTGAAGCCATTTATGAGAAAATTTTGAAAATGTCTGGGGAGGCTTTATGTCATGTACCCCCAAATTTCGAAGAAAGTTTTTCAATATCTCAAAGCTTCGATTTGAGGCAGATGGAAAAGGGTTTCTTCAAAATCCTATAGTAGCCGATTACATTAGGTCATTGTTACACCCCCTGCCTTACAAAACTAATCTTGTTAACATTGATAAACACATTGCTGCGACCACAAGGCCTGTTGAGGACGATCGCGAATTAAATAAAAAGATGCATTTTATAAGACAGGTGTAACAATGACCAAATGCCATCGGCCTCTGTAGAAAAATGGAAGTGTAGTGTCGAACATCCGCCACCATTGGGTCTCGATCCTTATAGTGCTTCCCAAGTCAATGGACGATAGATTTTACCACGGAGCTATCACAGTCGGTACAGTATTTGTGCTTTTTACGCTCTTTCATGGCCAGTCTAAATTCATAATTAAAAAAAAATAGCATCAAGGTTTAATGCAAATGCCAAGAATATGAAAGCTTTGGCGGTAAAATGTAAATCTATTGATTTACATTTTAAAAATAAAATGCAAACAATGCCTCTCATTGGCATTCGTTGGGCATGAGGTCGGGCCATTCTGATTCATATTAAACAAACCAACTGAAATGGAAAACAGTTCTTTATTCTTCAAAGTTCTGCTTTTATGGACGATAAATTTTGGTGCTTATCATAAGAACCATTAAAACAGTGCTGGGGACGTTAGTCATAACAAACAATAAACCCATATAAAATCTATTCATGAACAATATTGTTATTGCCAAGAAACGAATACTAAAATCAAACAAAAGAAAAC